GGCGTCGCGTCAGTATATGTCAGTTTCTGTGCGCCTGTCATTGCTGATGCAGCTGCCAAGATAAGTGAATTGATCAACCACCTCGAGTTCCTCGTTAGCAAGCGTCAAGGGGTCATCAAGTGGCTGGTGGTCCTGCAGCAACACTTTGCACTTCGAAAGTGTGAAGTGCATACCAAATAATGGGACTACTCTGGACAGGCTATTCAGGGTTGATTGTGCCGTCGCAAAATCGTCGAAAAGCAAGACGATATCGTCCGCATAATCTAGGTCAACTAACCTTTCACCAGGCAGCACTTCAACACCTACATCGTGAGATTCCGCGAGGGAACACTCCATGATAGAATCCACGACGAAAGTGAAGAAAAATGGGGAAATCGGACAACCCTGATGAACGCCACTTGTGGTCGGAAAGCTATCCGATAGGTCACCGTAGACCCTGACGCGACCTGTAGTGTTCGAGTATAGAGCACGAAGGATGTTCACATATTTCGTGGGAACACCTTTCCGAGCAAATATTTCGAACAGAATCGATCGATCGAATGAATCGAATGCACTCTTGAAATCGAGGAACACAGCCATTGTCGGTCTGCGGTATGCGTGGCGCTGCTCTAGCACCTGCCGCAAAGTGAATGTATGGTCTATACAGCGACGTTCTGGGCGGAAACCGGCCAGCTCTTCCCTAATCCGAGATTCCCGTTCCGCAGTGAGACGATGAACGATAATCGAGGCCAATAATTTTGTCACAACTGGCGTTAGGCTAATACACCTGTGGTTAGAACAGTCTGTGCGACTTCCCTTCTTGCATATTACCACCATAATCGATTCGCTCCAATTAGCCGGGACACCTCCTTCCAGATACGCTCGAATAGGGAGGTCAGTGCTTTGCAGAAGACCTCACTTCCATCTTTAAATAGTGCAGGTGGGAGGGAATCCGGACCAGCGGCACGAAAACGATTAAGGGCTGTGATCGCCGAGCACAACAGGAAACATGAAACCGTTAAGTGTGTGGGAATTGATGGACCTATGCGCGGCTAATTATTTCTTATCTGATGAACAAATATACCAACAACTGAAGGGAACGCTTATTGCGTCATCCATATCAGGGCTCAATACCGAGACCGTGAAGCAAAAATTGTGGTGCATGGCCATACATCACCGATCAACTCATAACTTTGGACCTGATACGTGGACGATATGTTTGTCAGCATAAAACGAAATTCGGTACAGCGTACTCATAATAAGAGCAACAACACATTCAACGCCAAGTTCATGAATGGCAGGAATACCGACGGAACACTTGTATATGCCGGAAGAAAACACACCCAGATCAAATATTGAGCTACCACAGTAACCATCCGATAAAGCACAAAGAGCTGTATCCAAACTATTCAAGAGGGCGGAAATACACTGCGGCACATTGGAACTGAGAAGGAGTGGAACCACCTATACCGAGTGTTACAAAACACGGATACCCACGAAACTTTATGAGAAGCTTGATGTAATAACATCGAAACGCGTCATAGTAGTGCAGTGTTTTCGGGCGGGCAACACCCAATTTCTATTTGCATCAGCTACGGTCCTCGTGATCGAAAGACCAAGGTTCACTTCAATGGGAATCGCGGTCAACATTGAGATTGCGCGTCGCAATCCATCCACACAACGTGTACTTCCAAATGACCCTGAACATCGTTCATTATACCGTTGTGCCAAGCGTTGCCCGTGACCCGGTGGCTTAGGGGTACCGGTCACAATTAACATCTCGATGGTCCCGGGTTCGATGCCTGCTAACTCTATCTGATGAGATGTAATAACATCGAAACGCGTCATAGTAGTGCAGTGTTTTCGGGCGGGCAACACCAAATTGTATTTACTATTAATCTAGTTCAGATAACTACAGTCATACATATAAAATGCAAGCGCAGTCATCTTGATGTCTCCTTCATAATACTGGAAGAATAGAATTGGTGGAACAAATGAGGAAAGAAACGAACGAAATGGAAGTGCAACAAAGGAAACGGAGATAAAACTGCATATACCAGATGGAAAGACTGGCGAAATGGAGGACGAATGTGCCATAACGGAATGTTCCGTTTGCTCTAAATAGCCATGTAGTCGGACTGGATGACCCTTACGTCACAGCGTCTAGGTAAAATCATCGTAAAACCCCGATAGATTACTGACGGATTGCCAGCTGGGTGCAGTAACGTCGGACATTGCAAACAGAATCAATAGGTCAGCAAGGGTGTAAACAGCATGGGCAAAACAGAGCAGACGGACCGAGTTAAACGGGTTCTTCCATGCGGCAAACGAACGTACTTCCAAAAGTTGAATAGAGTACATTCACATAACCTATTCGACTCTCGCCGGATCTGAGTAATGTTTCGAGCGCATCGGTTATTAAAAACGATCAACGCGCGCCGGTTCAAGTCTCCATGAACGCGGTCGAAGTTCATGTCTGTGTAGGTGCACGCGATCTTGAAGTATCCCCAGTCCGAATGCGACCGCATACCATCGCATGGCTGTGAAGGGTTGGTAGGACATACAGGCGTATTGCAGGTGCTATGCCCACGGTTATAGTACTTCCACAAAGAATCTATTGAAACCTGTTCGCCGCAGAGGATAATCAACGGCACAACAACAGCAGTACCTCAGCCGTTTGAACTGATGCTTCGCTGCCATACAACCACGACCTATGAAATAAAGAATAATACGAAGGAGAGAAGGGGGCTTACATGAAAACCTTAATGCCCTAAGCAAACATTCAGGGCCAAGGCGCCTACACCTTGTGTAGACAACATACCGTCGTAAACAGCTGGCTATCGTGAAAAGATAAGGTACCCAATCTGCTGCATCGAACTGGCAAATAGGGGTGAAGATGCTAATGTTCAGGGCGTCCTTTCTTCTAATTTTTACTCGACAAGTTCCTGTCAAACTGAATGGACAACTTCATACATCTGCATCTATTAGCAGCCCTCCACACTGCCAAAGACTTACATGCCGCAACATGCAAATCAGTCAACACGCAGCACTTGCCCAATCACTAGAGACCCTATTGAGTGATAACTGCTTTTTATTAGAAACCCGCTTGTAAGGTTGGAGCCCTGTTCTCACACTATAACAACCTTCATGTGATATTACTCGTACGTTTTCACTGCACCTATCCGCAGATGACGCAGCTTCAAATGCCGGTGAAGTCGATGTGCGCATTGCTCTGAGCTTCTGGACCGCAGCTGCTCTCGTGTACTGCATTCCAGACAACAGTCAGATGTGCGCCGCCCGATCCGTTAGCTCCTACGAAACTACGAAGTGTCACAAAGTCAATAGATGCATGTTGGTCTTGCTGCCCATGCCCCAATAAATCCTAGTGCTAACTCGGTGAGAGAGGAATTACATCGACAACTGAACGACCTGCGTCACAGCAAAAGTATGATATTGTAGTGCTGGCTCAAGCTGAAAAGCTGTCTACTGATGATGTCCATTTCGGGAAGAGCACTATGTCCCAAAAAAGTGCGCCGGATGGTAATAAGGAGCCCACCAGCCTCAGGCCAGCCATGCGCGCAAATCGATCGCGAGTAGTTACTTTGAAGACACTGAGTCCAAAACTGCAGACGGAATTGTGGTACAAGCGTAGACTCCGACAATGCACTTGTATGTGCTGAGCCACGAGTTCGTTTCAGTAGACGACCGCCATGACGCCGTGAGCGCATAGACACACGCT